GGGGATCGATTGGTATCTGAGTTATTTTTTGAATTGAGCATATGTTTTTGTTTCTTAGCCAAAAAAAGAGAATGCCTTAGGATTTTGGGGACTTCTAGCAACTCGCTTTAGGTTGTTTAATGATGGTACATTCATGGATCTGCAGTTGTTCGAAGCCAGAACGACGCTGACCGGTGCTGGGGTGTTGCCCTGTAACCTGCTGATTGCAGGTCTGGTAGAGAGATCTGGGGATGCTTTTGGGGGCATTCCAAGGGACAACCAAAGGTTGCTGTTGGGACAGCGCTGGCCGGAGCTGGGGCGAGTCGTGTTGCTCTGTAACCTAGCCGGGTGGGGGCGTGAGGCCTGGGAGAGCTCGACAGGGAATAAGGCAGTGTTGGACAGTTTTAGAGAGTTTTGTTTGGGAGTCTAGGGGTTCTTAGCATCCGAAAAAAGTTCAATAGTCATTCATAGTTTTTCAACCTCTCCTTTTATTCTCTTGAGTTTCTTCAGTAGTTCTTAGATTGATTCTCAGTCGAAGCCGGGTAATGGCCTCGGTATCTCAAATGAGTTGTGTAACTGTATTTGGGACGCTGGGCCCAGTTCCCAACACGTGCTGCTCCCCACGAATAGATTGGAGCTTTTGTCCCAAATAATGATAAAAAAAAGCATGGCCCTTGCGCAAGGATGACAGACATACTGTCCAGTTGATGTAGCTCAGTGGCTAGGTTGCAGGTTCAAAACTCAATTGCAGCCTTGCGCATGGACACCGGCAGGGCGTTAGAATGACGCACGACTGGACACACACCCCCTTGGGCTGACACACGGTAAGCTTATATAGACACTACCTGCACACCAGCCAAGGGGTTGTCCATGGTGTTGTATGTCGGGTCTTGATACTGCGTGGGTTGCTTGTGGCTGTTTATCTCCCCAGTCTGCCATATCGCACACAGGGGCCGTTTACGATTGTCACTCAAATGGTCGAGTCTTCAGGTCACATGTCATAGATCACGGGTTCGAGTCTGGCTTGGGACTTTGGGGGGGGGTCTTGTCCAGCTTGGCCTGTCATCTCTTTAAAGGAACATATTGTTCCCTCTACATAGTACTGCACATATCTGGCCTTGGGGCGCACATATCTTGGTATAGCCTTCGGGCAGACACCAAAACATGGCCCGATGGGCTCATACAAACATACATATCCTTTGGCCACACACATATACACACAACTACAATATTGGGCTGGGGGGGTCTATCAGGTGTATGACGGTGTCTACGCACGCATGACTTAGTTCTAGGGTAGGGTAGGGATATAAGTCGCTCCGGCTAGTCTGAGTTCCGCCTAGCTTTGGGTAAGCTAGGGGAAGGATGGTAGGATCGCGGGCTGGCCTGCCTTGCTTAGGTAATCCTAATGGGTGGACTCTCTGAATTGGGCATGTAGAAAATTGCATGAGCCTGGCGTTCGAAGTTCCCAAATGGCAAGGTTCGTCCGCTTCCGCTTCCATTAGGGCTGGGAGCTTGGCCCACCCTTGGTGCTTGTCACTGTTGTCTGGTCCAAGTTGCCCTCAATATTGGAAGGGTGATGGTCCTAAGTGTTGGTCACACTGAGGTAGGATAGTAGGGACAGGGGGTGCGCTGGGAGTATTAACGTAATCAGGGTTGCCGGCGTTCGGGACGGGCCGAACACCCGAACCCGAACGCCCGAACGTTTAGGACCCCCTCTCGACGCGTTCGGACGTTCGGCCGAACGCGGAACCAAAAAAA